TAGATGAGCTTAAAATATCTTTTTTTTTCTTCCTTTTTTGCAGCAGTTTTCACTCATATCATGTTGGCACCCTCAAATGCATTTCCTACTGTATGTGAGGTTCTCATTTGACTAACAGATTGCTTTCATAATGCTCATGGTGCGAAGCTGGAGGATTCAGTTAGACTGAAACTTGTAAGAAATGTGGTGTTCACTGTGGTCAAGAAGGCTTCTGCAGAGGAAATGTAACCTAGTTTTACGAGCAGTGTTTACAGTTCATTGGTATTTCTTTTTTCAGTGCTCTCATGGGTACAAACTTTATGGATGATTGACTTTTTCATGTCATTTCACTAAATGCTCTTAGTTTGAAGTTTAATGTCTGTCACATTAACCGCATTGATTACAAAGTGTAACTTTTATTGCAGCAAAGTTGCAGCTTGCCTCAGGACAACTTTTGTTTTACGTAAAGGAAGGACTGACATGATTATGTTGCTTCCCTGCAGAGCATTTGAAGAGCAGGCTGGAGGAGTATATACGTCAGCTGAAGATTGTCCGTGTGGTGAGGCAGCCAGAGAGAAAGGGCCTCATCACAGCAAGGCTTCTTGGTGCCAGTATTGCGCAAGCTGAAGTTCTCACCTTCCTTGATGCACACTGTGAGAAAACGCACATGCAAACAATACACAAGTCAAAGTTTCCATTTTAATCATCCCAGGTGATTTACTGAGGCATTTCAGAGTTGGAGGGTTAAATGTATGTGCTTTTTCAGCTTCTAATACTGTAAATAATCTAATACTCCAGTACTCTAATACAAGTGTTTACTACAGCAGTAAACGTATACATATACACACATACCCACACAATTTTCACTTGTCCATATTTTGTAATACGTGAATATTTCATCTTACGTGTACTACTAAATAAAAGTGTTGGTTTTATGCGCTGCTTATGAATATATTAAAACCACATAGTTTAAGGGCAGGACCCCAGAAAAGGAGTGGTTTTAATGAAGCAGTATTGAAACGGATGTAGTCAAAACCTGCACCTCTTCTTTTAGTGACTGCTGCATTTGACACACGTAATCAATTCAGCTTGTTGAAATTATCTCTTTTGTTTTACGCTCTTTTTATTTAGTAACTGTTAAACTCTTTCTGCCTAACCGAATCACCGTCGGATACAGTTCAGCGTTTTCATACAAGATCCTTAATTACTTTGGTCTGTGCATTTACAGTGTTTTCCATCAACATTTAAATATTTTCACACAGAAGAAAGAAAAATTCAGCTAAATATAATGCCAGCAAACATCTGTCATTACTGTCTATATGAGGTCAAACTCATTTTACATGGAGGGTCAAAAGGAACCCACTTTGATCTTGAGTGGAACAGACAAACGAAACTCCACTTTGTATCAGTGTAAAGTTTAACCACACATTTAATCCTTTCTTATAATAAGATAAAGTGCAATTTCAACAGCAAATCTTGTTTTTTCTTCATGATAAATGTGTAAAATTACAGAATTTATTTTTTTTTAATTTCTTTAAAAAAAATTATTTATTATTCACTTACTTTGCTGTAGCATGAATGGCTCTTTATCAGCAGCAAAGCTGTAAAACTCACAAAAATACAGTTAAAAGTCACAAAAATCTATGGCCTCCTTCATATTTTCCAAAACTGTTCAGTTGTCCTGATTGGAGTCTTTGGCTGGCCAATTCTGGCCCCTGTGCCTTATGTTTGACATTCCTGGTCTATATGTTACACTGAATGTGGTATAATTTTTGTAGTTGATATTAAGAAATATGAAGCCATCACTGTCCTGTTTTCCCCGTTTAGGCGAGTGTTTCCATGGTTGGCTCGAGCCCTTACTGGCTCGAATTGTTGAGGAACCCACTGCTGTGGTTAGTCCAGAAATCAGCAGCATTGACCTCAACAGCTTCCAGTTCCATAAGCCTGTGGCCACCAACCGCGCCTATAACAGAGGTAACTTTGACTGGAGCCTGTCTTTTGGCTGGGAACCCATCCCCGAGGATGCAAAGAGGCTACGCAAGGATGAAACCTACCCTGTAAAGTAAGAACAGTCATGTTGGTGTCACGTTCAACTTCCTGAACTGTATAAAATACCTGATTGGTTTTCTGTCTGACTATGAACATTTCAGAACGCCCACTTTTGCTGGAGGTCTCTTCGCGATCTCACAAAAGTACTTTCAACACATCGGAACATACGATGACCAGATGGAGATTTGGGGCGGTGAAAATGTGGAAATGTCATTCAGGGTCAGACCTCTTTATCTAATCTCTGCTTACACAGATCCACTTTGTCACAAGTCTCCTGTTACTGAGTTTGTCATTTTTGATTCAGGTGTGGCAGTGTGGGGGTCAGCTAGAGATCATCCCTTGTTCTGTGGTGGGCCACGTCTTCCGTACCAAGAGCCCCCACACCTTCCCCAAGGGCACTGAGGTCATCACCCGCAACCAGGTGCGCCTAGCTGAAGTCTGGATGGATGACTATAAGAAGATCTACTATCGGCGTAACCAAAATGCAGCAGTTATGGCCAGTGAGGTCAGTTTTAAGAATAATTTATCACCCTTGTTCTGATACTTTTTGGTTGGAATTCAGACTCAAGTTGATATGATTTGTTTTTTTTGTTGTTTTTTCTAAATAACGCCCCTTTTGCTGTACAGCATAGATTTGGAGACATCTCTGATCGCCTGAATCTGAGAGAGAGGCTTCATTGCAAGAACTTCAGCTGGTACCTAAATACAGTCTACCCAGAGATCTTTATTCCGGACTTAAATCCAGAAAAATCTGGATCTGTGAGTCAGTTTTGTGAATAGCGAACATCTAATGCGCAACATGTGATGTGTACCTGTGGCACTATTTAATTATTGTGTCCATGTTTGGTCCAGATTAAAAACTTAGGGTCTAATATGTGCCTGGATGCTGGAGAGAACAACCAGGGGGGTAAACCTCTCATCATGTATCATTGTCACAACATGGGAGGCAACCAGGTAAAGTAACTGATGCAGTATGTTAAAGACAAGTTGATTATGCTTTTCAGCATTCGAGTTCTAATTGGATGATTGTGTCCTTTAGTACTTTGAGTATACGTCTCATAAGGAGCTGCGTCATAACATTGGAAAACAGCTGTGTGTTCATGCGGCGGTGGGATCAGACCCGGTGAAGCTTGAGCTGTGCCGGCTTAAGGGGAAAGGTACCAGTGTGGCCCCTGAACAGGAGTGGGTCTTTACAGAGGTGAGGAGCAGTTGGAGGCCAACATTTCTTTTTCTTTTTTTTTTTTTTTAACGTTTGGCCAAATGCAGCTAATCGCTATCATACTTGTCCACCACATGTAAAGCTACAGCCATCTTCCAGGTAACTGCAACTGGGAAATAAAGGGGGAAAAGAGTGAGCTTACTGAGTGTCATCATGAGGTTGCTGAAAAATCTAGTGGACGGTCATCGCAAAGAAAAACTTATAAAACCTCAACTTGCCGTGTGTACACTCTGAACTGCTTTAATGCATGATATATAATATGTAAGGTAGAAAACTTTAGAGGTGGTGCTAGGGAGATTTTACCTTCAGCAGGGCCATCTTTTGCTTTACATCTCCTGTGATGGTTGTGATTTTTCTCAAACTAGATGTTTAACCAATTGTTGTTGTATCCAAACAACAGTTATTTCTTTTAATTATTATGTTTATTTGAGTTTTGCCAACTCCTTCTGTTCTTCAGGAAAATCTTCTGAAGAATCCAAGCAGTGGACAATGTTTAGCCTTGAAAGGAGGCCAGATTTTGATGGACTGCAATGCTGCCGAACTCCACCAGCACTGGACTTTCACCTGACCTTCCAGTCTTCCCGCCGGGTGACCTTTGATACCTTCTACCCTCCCCCCCCTTTCTCAAACCTGGCACAAAGGAGACACATCAATATTGATCGAGTAGAACTTCACCGAAGCTGTGAAGCTTGGGGCGCATACTGAATGAATATTTAAAGAAGGAGGGACAAGGTAAAGACGGTCACATCTGTCAGATGCCTGGGGTGGTCTTAGTTCATTTTAAATTTATTTATGAAAGAAACTCTGCAAAGACATTTGCTGGTGGTTGGGGATCTTCAGCGTCTGGGCTGCGGCACTTGGGAGTGTCACCTTGATCAGGGCGAAGCTGTGAAAACGTGACCTTAAATGACTGGATTTGCTCCTAAACTTGGAAAATTCTTCTTGCTTTGTTTTTGTCAGACACTGAATGTGATCATAAGTTTATATCTTACTGAGGAGTAACAGATGTCTGCTTTTTAAATAAAAATTATGTTTTAGATGAGGGCTTGTTTGTACACAGTATGTTTTTTTGTTTGTTTGTTTTGTCTTTTGTTTTTTGGGTTTTTATTTTTTTGTTTTATTTTGTTTTTAATTGCCAAGACTATTCCTGAAAGTTTTATACATAAAAACTAAAATATATTGGAGTTGTAACGATCTTCTGTTGTACGTTGTGCTTCTTTGTATATATTTGATAAATGTTACATAAGGCACTAATCTTAATTTTCTTTTTAGCTGGGCAATGGTTGGCACTGATTAACAAAATGTAGCCACTCCTAGGAAGAAGTAAAGGAATAATTTACAAAGACTCTTTGGTTACTGATACTGCAATATCAACTCATTGGGCTTCAAAGTTACGGTAGCCTTAAGCTGTCAGCCTGGAAACGCTTCATGATTCATTTTACAGCCCGAGAAAACTGTTTCCAGGGTCGTAGTCTGATAAGAACTCATTCCTACAAAGAGTTAAGACTTGCTTTGTCAGAGATACCTGTTGGGCAGTTGTGCAACATTTATCTAAGGAGTGGCTGAGGAGCAAGAAACATTCATGGCATTAAATTCATGTGACTAGACCTGAAATGTGACTTAACGCCACTGAGCAGGTTCATCAAACTTCAGCTGATGGACTGTGAGGAGTCTTGATTTCATATGCAAATGAGATTTATGGCAAAGAATAAATGGCAGCGGTTACATTGAAGGAAGTAATGGCACAGATGCATTACCCATTTTGTACAGTAGGTGGCAGCACACAGTCGGGAAACTTTTCTGCAAGGCGAGGATGACAGCTGAAATGTCGAGTGTCATGCAGCCACAGGGAAACGAGTGGTCACAGCAGACGGTCGAAGAACAGATGGGTCAGAAGATGAGCTCAGAGAGTCTGACTCGCTCTGAGGTGTTTGGGCAGCTCAGGAGGGAGCTTTACGGGGAGGAGCGGTCAAGTCATTCCAATACACACTTATTCATCATACTGGGAGCATCTGTGAGTACAGCTCTTAAAACTGCTCTTTCATGCAGCATATGATGAAATGTCTCGTTTAATGTGGTCACTGGTCTTGTAGTAGCACCGTATTCTAAACACATGGCGGTGTCTGAAGTCACGGGCTGGTTTGAGGAAATAAAAACGTGCATAAAAAGAATTCACATATTGTTGTAGTGTGGTGATCCGAATGAAAGCCAGGTGTGAGCGCATGCAGTTTGAAATGTGCTGCATCTACTTTTTCCTTTGTTGAGCAACAATAGAAGCTGATGATTTAGCAGCGAAAACATTTTCACCGTTTTTGGCTTTGAGCCGGGAACAGAGTACCAGTTGCATGTTTATCGGTCATGAATGTTTTTTTAAAGTAACCTAATTCACACTTACAAGTCTGAGTTCTGCAGATCAGGTGTGTTGCTGGAAAATGTGACTTATTTAATTACTCTGCAGATTCTTTTGCACCACAGTGATTATTTCCAAAGTTTACTTAGTCTTTGGACTCTGAGTGTCCGTTCACTGTGAATAGATCTAAAGAAACTTTTTTTTTTTGTTTTGTTTTTTAAATTTGTATGATTTAAACAGGGAGATCTTGCTAAAAAGAAGATCTATCCAACCTTATGGTGAGTAAAGAACTGCAGCACGCACACAGCAGCTACATTAATAACAGAGCTGTGCTTTAAAGTTGTTTGGTCACCTTGTGTAATGAAGAGTTTGACCTTTGGCCAAAGTTTTCTGCATTGCTACCTTTGAATTTTTCAGGTGGTTATTCAGAGACGGCCTTCTTCCAGACAACACGTTTTTTGTGGGTTTTGCTCGGTCCAGCTTGACTGTAGAGGACATCAAGGCAGCATGTCTGCCCCACATGAAGGTAATACCTTTTAAGGGTGTTTGACTATTAAAGATAAGATTTTGTGTTTTCAGAATTGTTCCACATCTTCCTCAGGTCAGTGATGAAGAAAGCGACTACCTATCAGCCTTCTTCAGTAAAAACTCCTACCTGAGTGGCAGGTATGATGACGGCAGCTCCTTCGACCAACTCAGCAAACATCTGTCATCTCTCCCTGGGGGCGCCAACGCTAATAGACTTTTCTACCTGGCTCTACCACCGACTGTCTACCATCATGTCAGCAAAAACATCAGAACCCACTGCATGAGCCTCAAGTTAGTACCTGACGAGTCCTTAAAATCAATATCTCACTTAGTGTTGATTGCATTTTCCTAATCCACTGTTTTTGTGGCAGAGGTTGGAACAGGGTAATTGTCGAGAAGCCCTTTGGTCGTGACCTCCAGAGTTCACAGGAACTGTCAACCCACCTGTCGTCCCTGTTTACAGAGAACCAGATCTACCGCATAGATCACTACCTGGGAAAAGAGATGGTCCAGAACCTCATGGTGCTCAGGTAACAAGCTCAGTACAGACTTTTTTGGGTGGACTTTATCACAGGAATGAACTTTCAGGTTGTCATAGACAGTATTGCTGAATTTCAGAAGTATTCATTACTATTCAACTTTTCCATCCTCCTGTTTTGTTTTAGTAATATTTTACTCACTCATTTCCAGGTTTGGAAATCGCATTTTTGGACCCATATGGAACAGGAACAGTGTGGCCTGTGTGGTTCTCACCTTCAAGGAGCCTTTTGGCACTCAGGGCCGTGGAGGATACTTTGATGACTTTGGTATTATTCGGTGAGAGAGACTGCATTCAGATAAATGTAAGTTAAAAAAAAGCTAGTTTGTAAACTTTCCCTCATTGCTTTCTTTTCTTCTTAATATAGAGATGTCATGCAGAACCATCTTCTCCAGATGCTCTGTTTGGTTGCAATGGAGAAACCTCCTTCTACCAGTCCAGATGACGTGAGGGATGAGAAGGTAAAACCAGGGATTGGAAGAATTTGGGAATTGCTTTCCATAGCACGATTATCAAGTCTTCGCCATCCTTTCTCCACCCCATTTTTTTCTCAAACTCTAGGTGAAGGTGTTGAAGTGTATACCTCCTGTTGAAGTATCAGATGTTGTGCTTGGCCAGTATGTCGGAGATCCTGAAGGGGAAGGTCAATCCAGACTGGGATACCTTGATGATCCCACGGTGCCCAAAGACTCCTGGACACCAACTTTTGCAACAGCAGTCCTGCATGTCCAGAATGAGAGATGGGATGGTGAGGCTTTAGTCCAGCTTTTTTGTTCCTCACCTGTCTCTCCTAGTCTACATTTTATCAAGCCTCCTTAAATTCTCCTTCTGCTTTTGCATCCATTATGCATGTCATCGCACCATGCACACCATGTACATCAGGAGTTCCTTTTATTCTGCGCTGTGGTAAAGCACTAAATGAGCGGAAAGCAGAAGTACGTCTGCAGTTTACTGACGTGCCGGGAGACATTTTTGGTGATTGCTGTCAGAGGAATGAGCTGGTGGTGCGGGTGCAGCCAGATGAAGCCATTTACTTAAAAATGATGACCAAGAGGCCTGGAGTTTACTTCAATCCAGAGGAGACTGAGCTGGATCTCACCTACAAGAGTCGATACAAGGTGCCTCAAGCTCATGTCAAAATATTAATTGTAATCCAGCTTTCAGAAGCAACTCTTACTCTTGCAGGAAACGTATTATGCTTTTCCTTACAGAATGTATATATTCTGTAAGGAAAAGACAATTTATTTATGAGCAATCCTTGTGAGCCACAACCTTAGGCTTAGACTGCTTCAGTTTTTGGGGGGGTTGTTCTACCTTGAAATGATGTCAGTATGTGTGGAAATCCTTAATCCAGTCATCTCAGACAAATTGCTCCAGATGTTAGTACAGCAGTGACACCCACCTGTTCTTCAAAGACTCTCTTGGCAATAGATGGAGTTGGAAAAAAGCACAATAAATCACTTTTAAAATAATATTATATTTAATACATTTTGAGACTTTTATGGTGGATGTCCCATTGTTACTTATCCTTGATACTGTAGGCCAGTAAACTTGAACTTAGTATGCATGTAGGAGTTTAACAGCTGCTGTCTATCTGCAGGATGTGAAGCTCCCAGATGCTTATGAAAGACTCATACTGGATGTCTTCTGTGGAAATCAAATGCATTTTGTTCGCAGGTTGGTGCCATCATTGAAAACATGAGCACATCTGCACAGTTGTTGCCAAATATTTTATCAACACTTTTAGTTGGAGATGTGTACCGGCCACGTTTAAACAGCTCTTTTTAGTTTTTTAGGCAGTGATTTTCAGTGTTCCCTCTTTTTATTTATTTTTTTGTTGAAATGTTTTCATCTTTGTCTCAGTGATGAGTTACGGGAGGCCTGGAGGATCTTCACCCCCCTCCTCCACCAAGTAGAGAAAGAGAAGCCACGCCCCATTCCCTACACATATGGAAGGTAAATACTGTTTTATCAGGCAGAATGAAATACGCATATCATACTTTAACAGTGACAGTTCTTCTTTCCATCTTATCTGTTATGTCCACAGTCGTGGTCCAAGAGAAGCAGACGATCTCCTGAAGAGAGTGGGATTTCGCTATGAGGGAACATACAAGTGGGTGCAGCCCCACACCGCTTAATTCTTTCTGTCTCACAATCAAGTACTTGAGAAAAGATTGTAAACAAACAATCAAGTTTACTGCAGTCACTGCTGCACTTGATTGATTTCTGCATGCACAGAAGAAAGCACTGCTTTTCATGACTAATTATGACAGCAGAGATTAAAACAAGCTGTAACAGTCTGATTTTGATGTAAATCTGGTATTTCTAAATAAATCATCATTCACTCTTTTACTTGCAATTTTTTTTAAAAGCATTGCAAATATCTGTATTCCTACGACCTTTGGACATTGTGGACATGGAAAATCTACAACCTTTATGGTATCTTATAGATACTAGTATAGGATAATTATTTACTGGCTGTGCCATTTAACTCTTAAGAATTCAAGAGTGTTCACTGTATTGTAAGGCCTTTGTTTACAACTGTCACTAATGCCCAATGGGAGTCATAAACAGACCCATGTATACCAGAAGGACCTGCTGGCCTGGTTCGTAACAACAGGAGCCTCTTTTAGTATCAGTCATGCAGGAAACGCATTTAAATGTCTGGCGTCGGTAAGAACAACTCTCAGGTATGTTCTAATCTAAACTAAGAACTCTCTTACTAACATGTTAATCTCTTACAATGCATAAACATGTTTTCAAATGGCTTTATATTTTTCTATTTCTATCAGCAGTTTTCACCAGATTGATTCTGGTTCTTGTACTTTGTCTCTGCCAGGTTCAAGGCCTAACTGGAACTGCATGCACAGTTTCTTTAATATCAGTAATAGACCATTAAGTGATCCTGCCAGTACTTTGAAGTGCAGCAAGAACAAACATCTTTTTAAACAACTATTTGTGGTTTCTTGTGACAACCTATTGAAGTAATGATTTTAATGGGCCATATATGTTTGTAAATTGTCATGCATTTCATAGATTTGTGTGAAGCTAGAAAATTGTTCACTGATAATGTAGAACCAGTAATCATTCACCTTTTATTCAGCTGGATATACAATCTGCACTGCTGCTGAACAATCAAGCAATAAAAAGTCAAGCAATAAAAAGTCATTGCACAAAGATTTTGTTGTCTTTCAAGTTCTGTTTGCATTTCCCATGACTCTATTCTCTGAAAACTTGTGCACATAAATAAAATTCAGACCACAAGCTGCTCACTTGCCGCATACTGTATAAATTAATGTAGTTTACTGAGAAAAAAAGCCCCCAAAATTAGCAAGCGGTAGTCAACTAACACACACATGCACATTTAAGAATAAATAGTCTTCATCATTATTACAATGAAGATAATCCATAGAAGTACCTGAAATAAAAGGAACTTTTTGGCAATCACAGAAAGCAAGTCTGGCTTTTTAATCTTTTAATAAATTCACAAATCAGTCCCACGATGCAAACACTCCATTCTTCAGACTATTTGTATGTGATGCATCTACTTTTATTCTTGTCACTCTCCTGGCTGCAGTTCTGCATGGCTGCTCCGTCCTCAATGCCCCTGGCGTACAGACGTACCAGCTGACCGTGGATCCTGACAGAAGTGAACAAATCTAATTATATATCTTATGTTTCATAACGTATTGTGGGATCTTTACCCTACAATACAAAGGGCTATGAGGCAACTGTTGTAATTTAGCACCGTATAAATAAAATTGAATTGTAGAACAACATGTTGGGTGGTGCTCTTACCTGCAGAAGATCTCAGTGAAAGGCAGAATCTCTCCATCACAGTTCCACACGGACACAGCTGGAGTCTTTTTGCAGCACAGACCACACAGGATGGAAGCCACTGTTTTGTGCTCGTTCATCGTCTCTCGCTCTACCACACTCTGTGCCAATTGCTGCTGAGATCCATTTCTGCTTACAGTGTCCACGTATTCTCGCTCTTCTATTGCACGATTCAGCTCTCCGATTCCTTCATGCACCTCTTCTTCTCTGCCATCTGGGAGAGAGAAACGGACGGCCTTCACTCGATGGACCTCCACAAACGGCAGGTCAAACTAGGAGAAGCAGGAACGATTGGGTCAAGCAGTTTCTAAAGTTTCTCTGTCCATTTGTTTTCAGCTGAATGTGATATACCTGGTCCTGTGTGCTTGTGTGTCTGTAGAGGAACTTGAGGAAGCTCAGTGGGTGAGTGTCCCATACTAGGATGAGATCCCCTGTTCCATCTGCCAGATGAGCAGACGGAGAGAGACCTAATGGGCTCCTGGCACATGAGCTGGACATACAAGTGATCGATACACACCTGAACCTGCCCTCCACACTCACCCATTCACCTAAAGAGAGACGAAGAGATTGGAGATACTACAATTAGAACGATTTTAGCAGATGTTGATGATTTCTAAAAGAAAATAATGTTAGGCCAATGTGCCCCAGGGGTTATAAGGCAATTTTTAATAGAGTAAGGAAATGGGGAAAAACATTTGTGTGATTCTACTTATTTCAATATGTGTTGTGGACAACAACAGGAAGGCAAGAAAAACTCAAACCACCAGTCGTGACAACCAAGGTATAGAGAAGGGCACGTCTGAACAAACAAAAAGTTGTATCTTGAAGCAGATGGGCTGCAGCAGAAGACCACACTGGGTGCGACTGCTGTCAGCTAAAAACAGGAAATTGAGGCTATAATTTTCACAGGCTCACCGAAATTGGACCACAGAACACTGAAAAAAAATCTTTTGTGGTTCACTTTTGTTCCAGTTTTGATTGTTGGTAGAGTCAGAATTTGGCATAAACAACATAAAAACATGATTCATCCTGCCTTGCATCAACACTTAAGAGTGGTGGTGTCAGTCAGTGTCACAGGGTACCCATCTTTGGATGGCTTCTTCTCTCATCATCCCAAACTGGTTTCTTGAACATGACAGTGAGTTCACTGCACTTAAACAGCCTCCACAGTCAAGCTCAAACCAACAGTCCACATTTGAGATGTGCACCAATCTGCAGCAGCTCTCTGATGTTATCTTGTTATCATGTACTAGAATTTATGAGTATTTGTATCGTTACCTTCAGAGTCATTGCTGTACTGGCTGAAGTGGGAGCTGTACAGGGAGCCTGAATCAGAAGTGTGTGGGAATAGTCGCTCTGTACTTCTGGAGCACACATTGCACCTAAAAAGAACAAAGAGTTTCACTCTCCTTCAAGTCTGTGAACTAACAAGCTCCCTGACCTTAGCAACAGCATTCATAAGAGCATTATAATCCATTCGCTGACAGCCAGAGACACCTGCTCCAAACAAAAACTAAGGTACTAACAAGAGGCTTGGTCTCAACTTTCAACTAGATCAAGTTTCTCTTGCTATGTCTCTTCTACCCTCCTCAAGGAACGAGCAACCAACACCCGAGTCCCTGCTACAGGGGGTAGCAGTTACAGTATCTCAAAGTGAATTTGACCCATTTCACTAGTCCTTGAATAATAATGATGCTCCTCACAAGGGCACCTTCTCGCTTTCAAATTAAAAGATTAAAAATGATCTTCCTTTTTAAAACCCCCACCAGAGTAACAAAAAAGTTAAAGGCTTTCATATTTTCTTCAAGGTCACGTTTTGGCCTGACTTGCAAGTGAAAGTTGCAGTTACATTAACAATGGGAGGAAGAGCACAGTCTCTTTTTATCTCTTTCTAGTAGGCGTTTTACCCTGAGAGGCAGCGCGTTTTATCCTTAGGGCTGGAGAGCAGTGGGTCTGCTGGTAGATACTGAACTATGCCCGCATAGCTTCTGTTGCTCAGGTACACAACTGTACCTATACAGAAGAAAAAAATTAAGGTCGGGTAAAAATACAGAACACCAGATACTGTATATGTGCAAGATTTTGAAATAGAACAACAGTGGTTTTACTATAGCAAATGCTGAAAAGGGAAGCACAGATGCCACTAGAGACTTTCAATTTGGTCATCTTGATAACAGTTACAGTTTCAGGGTGAATTTTTAACTTTGAGATAAAAATAAATATAGAGAATCTGACAGAATGTTCTTCAGCAGACTGTCATTTGCTTTGTTTTAAAAGAATCATCGGTCTGGACCTGAATAGTCGTATCTGAGAGGTCCCATCCAGCGGTGTTTTTCACTCTCAGCCAGTACGTCTCCATAGAAGCCATAGCCCACCAGAGATACCGAGTAGCGTACCAGGGTGGAAGCATGGTGAACTGAACACACGTCTAATGGCTGAGAGTCTCCTGGACATCAAGGGGTGGGTATACAAACTTATTTATACAGTTCCAATTTTGAAAAAAATATATGATCAGGGTTACACTCCCTTTACATTCATGAGAAAGAAAGTTTTCACAAGACTGTGCGATTCTATGAAAACATCGATACACCGTTAACTGCTTCCATAGGAATTTTGAGGGGAAGTAGCATCCAGGTACTGCTAATCAAATGCACTTGATTATTGATTATCATAAGTGTGAGCACCTCGATAAAAGCAGAAGATTTTGCAGTGTGCAGATCTGGAGCATTCAGGTGTTTGCTAACACAATGCCAAGGAGGAAAGGCATCAGCAATGACCTCAAAATCATCAATCTGGAAAAGTTTATAAGGGCATTTCTTAACATTACGGTGCTTTATTTTTCTTAAAAACCAAGCACAGCACCACGAACACCTAATACCGACTGTGACGTAAGGTGGCGGAGGATTTGGGTTTGTTTTTTTAGAGTCAAATGTGAGGCCATCTGTTTGACAGCTAATGCTTGCCCCAAATGGGGTCATCCAACAGGACAATGACCCCAAGCACAAAATCTACGACAGAATAACTTAAAAAGAAAAGAATCGAGATGTTGCAATGACCCAGTAAAAGTCCAGACCAGACAGGGCCTTAAGAGACCTGTGCATGAACAAAAATATCCAAACCTCAATGAACTGAAGCTAAATTGTAAAGAAGAGTGGTAATACGAATATAATTATTTCAAGTTTTTGCTACTGAATATAGTTCTTTGAGACATGGGGTGTACTTAGTTTCCACGCAGCTGCAGAGAGTCTTGTGAAAACGTTCTTTTTCACATGACCGTACGCAATATTTCCTCACCAATAATGATGTGCAAAGCTGAAGAAACAGGATCAATAACCCCCACTGTGGCATAACACACACAGTCTGTGGAACCTAAAATAGATAACATATATCAGGAAGTGAGAGTGACACCTTTATTAAATCTGAAGCCATCAGTTTATAATTGCTTATGAACAACAACCTGCAGGGATGATGCCAATATGAAGTGGGCATGGCTGCAATGTGACAGCGGGATCAGTCTCACAAAGACCTGCCTCTTGTTGTGTCCGCCCAATCAAACCATGAAGTACTTCACTGAACATGCCATCGCCACCCACACAGACCACACTGCAATAAACAAACATAATCGTTTCTATTATGAAAGCACCTCACAGTGCTCTTTCACAACAGTATTTATACCGCTGCGCTGATAGCGCTTACCCATCAAAGCCCGTCAGATCTTTCTTCAAGAGGTGGTCTCTGGCCTGGTTAGCCCGTTCAGTCACTGAAAAAGTTTATATAATGATTACACGTAAACTGTAAGGCTGTATGTCAGAGTTAAACTTTAAACATCAACTGTGCGATCAGTTTACCTATAACATGAGAGCTGATCCCAGCCAGCTCAAACAGAGGGGCAACAAGTGAATGGTAGATCTCTCTTCCTTTCTTTTTTCCTCCAAATGGGTTGATGAACACCAACAGTCTATGTGGACGCAAAGGACCTGAAAGATGCATGTTGAATATCACAGATGGGAGCTCAAAACGTCAGATATGCAACAGATTTTTTTTTTGTTAAAGTAAAATAATAGTCTATTTAGGAGAAATACAAGGTTAAATATCAGCTGTGTTTCTAGTCCAATTATCCACCCCTACTGTGAGTTTTGAGGGCAGTCCTTAGGTGATTTGTCCACTGGTCTCTGAGGACCCGACTGGGGCAGCTGAACTGGGTCCGGCCCAGGCTCCACAACAACCCATAAGTGCTTCTACTC